TCAATTGCTAAGTCAGGGACGATATAGACGATGCTACTTTGGCATTTAAAATTTAACAAAAATGATAAAACAATATATCCATGTTTTGGTATAGTTTGATGATTCACGGCGAGTACCTTGTCTTGGTGTAGTACGTAGGATGGTCTGACGTAGCGGGGTTACCCCAAGAATTGCTCGAAACTCCTTAGAACACGCGAAGAACCATGTTCGGTGTTCTGTTCGTGAACCGACGCGCTGCGTGACGAACTCATCTTGGCCTTCTCGTATCTATTTCCCTAGTCACTCTTTGGTCGCGCCAATTGCTTCGTTGGATAGCCGGTGGTGGGGACTGTAGGTTGGTGAAATTGGTTTAGCCTTAGTCGGGCTTCTAAGTGGTTTTTGGTCTGCTTTAAATAGCGTGTACGTCATCGTTTTTCATCTTCTGGTTGGTGTTCGCGGTCACCACACCACCGAGTATTGGCCGGCTGCGGTCGCGCGCACCATGGCATCGGCCGGTCTCGGCCGGCTGTGACCCGACTGACCGTCGCTGCCTGCCTTTGCCGCGCGCCGTTGTTGCCTCGCTGCTGTGTTGCTGCGCGCGCATGAGCAGTCGCGCTGAGCCGCTGTGCCCGCGTTGTGTCGTGTCCCGTTGCGCCGTGCTTGGCCAGCGCCACGCAAACCTGCCACACTTATGCACGTCATGACACCACGCGTTATGTGCGGCTGCTGCACGCTGTGTCGCTGCACCTGCGCTGTTGCCGTTTCACGCTGGCGCTCGCCTTGGCCGCACGCGCCGCATTCCGACCAGCGAGTAATGGCAGCCACTACTGGCCCTGCCTCTGCGCGACGGGCACAGTCACCATCCCTCGTCCCTCTGGACCATTCTGACTGGCCGCTACCATCAAGCCATGCCCCACGTGCGTCATCGTCGATGGCAGCGACGAGCCGGCGTAGGACCCAGCCGTAGCAGTCCCTGTTTCACCATGTACTGAGCGTTGTAATTTAATTGCTTGCGCCTACAAGTAGCTAGACCTATTAGCTAGCCCCACACTCCGAACTAGATCCAATCTTGCGTCGATGACCGCCAATTTAGCGTTTCCCTCACCGTCGTCCTTGAGCGCCGCCGCGGTAAGATTTGGGGGTAAGCCCCAAACCCGTAGGTAAGGGATCAATTGTTGGCATTTCTGTGCTTGTATTGATCCCCTAGGGCTGGTGCTCGTCTTCATTTGGCTAGGGCGCTCGTCGGCGATGCGGTGACGCGGCCATGTCCACCTGGGAGCGTCGCTGCCCTGGTCGCTCGCACGTGGCTAGGCCTGGCTCAACCGTCCTTCGCTCCAAACGTCTCCACGACGCTGACCGTGGTGAGCCCCTGCTGCTTTCCCACCGCCTCTAACTCTCCGTTAGCATCCTAGGACGTCGGCGTGCTCACGCCACCATGGCGGGTAGCTTGGTGGCGCGGACAGAGCGCTGGGACCATGGTTTATCTCCCAACCGCCATCTAGGACTCGTCTTGGCCCCGCGATGTTCGTCGGCTTGCTCGGGTAGCCGGTGCCCCGCTCTGCTGGGCGGAGCTGCGTCGCTGCGCCGACCGGAGCTGCGTCGCTGCGCCTAGGCACGATGGGGGTTTCGTATTTGCAAAGGTGACGTTTTTTGAGGTGCTCGGTGCAAAGTCTGTCGCAGTTGTAATAGTGCGCAGAGTCGTCGTGTGATAACCGCGTAGTACGGGGACTCTTTTGCAAAATTGCCGGCGCTCACGTGGGCTCCGCGTCGTGGGCCGCTCGTTGGTCCAACCTACTACGCGCGTGGACGTTCTGCGTGGGCCGTGGGAGCGCTGGGTCGAAAGGGGTTGCAGTCGGCCCTTTTCATTTTCTAAATGCTTTTCTAATATGGGTTTCTAGTTAACTTATAAAATCAATATAAAATAGTATAAGAATCTAAAAATTGTGAAACTAAGTTTGTTAGTCTTCTAAAATCATGATCTATCTGCTAGTATATTTTATTCACATAGTTTGATAATATTCTTGGAAGCCATATAATTATTTTGAGATACTTAATATTGTAAAAATGTAAACTTGTAGGAATTGTTGTGATAAATTGGTAATAGTGTTGGATCTAAAATTTTTATAGTAGATTCTTAGCAATATTAGGTATTCACTATAATTTTTGTAGACCCTTAGGGATTAGTTGTTAAGGTAACTAAATGAGCCCTAGTGCGTAAATATATATTTAATCAATCAAATGTCAAAAACAATTGGGGGTTTGTAGAACGAAAACACTTCTGAGAACAAGTCTTACTTGACGATGGGAATACGTAGACCAGTGTTAGAGCTATCTCGTTAGCTTGTGAGGCATGATCGGATTTCTAAGCATTTTGGCTGTCGTTGATTATTTACATCTATGTATTTGCATCAATGCATATCATATAGGTACGATGATGGATCAATTGAAGGATGATTAAAAATTCGAACATGGTGTAATGGTATTCTCTCCAGGAGATGATGCAATGGGCTTTCTATTCAGTTGATGGTGGATGATCTGAAGATGCAAATACTAACTTTTGGTTATATTTTACCCAGACAAGCCCCGGTGCATAACCCCTGCTTTTCTGCACTTTAAATTATATTTATGTATTAAGTTTTAAGGAGTTGAATGAAACCCACTTGCATATATAAATCTTTATCCTATAAGTCTTACTAGTATGACAGGATCGTGTAGATTGCTATGCTACAGGACTCCGGTAGAAGTCGAGTGATTGTCTGTCACTCGCGAGAGATAGAAATATATTACTATATTATATCATTTGGAAAATATAAATGGTGGAAAGAAAAAATGGTGATCGGACAGGGATATGGTTTGGGTATTGGTGGGTGTAAGAGGTTGTGTTCTGCGGCCAACGAGACATAGCTTGGTTACACTGTTTTCCCTGTCCATGTCGGTTAAGGACCGGTCGTTGCATTGGACTTTAGGCAAGTCACAGACTTATTATCCCGAGCACATACTTGGGTATGGGTGCAGGGAAGACTTGTTACTCTCTTGTCATAGGTTACGGCTCTTTTCGGACCGACTGTCAAGGTGATTTTTTGGTAGGAGGTCCTTGCACCGCACTGAGTCCGGGACTCAGGGGCGGGGGCTGGGAGTCCTAGTTTGGACGGGGACCTGGACCCCGTGACAGGAGGGTAGTGGGTTGGTCCTGCTTGTGCCTGGGGTATAAGCGGGGCGTGTGTTTTCGGGGTACCCAGCTGGGGGCATTAATTCGCGAATCGCCAGGCAATCTGGTACGGCTTGTCTACGGTCTAGCACCGTAGTAAGAACTGAAAGATGAAAGATGGTAAAATGAAATCTGATTGCTTACCACCTGCTTGAAAGTAGCACGGGTGCTTGCATAGAATGGTTAGTTAATGAGCTAATGCGTCTGCTAATAAAAATTGAATATAAGGACACACATTTAGTAATACTCCTGCAGATGTAATAAACCCACACGCCAGATAGCCTTGCATATCTTTGGAGTCTTTTCTTTTTTCCTGTCGGGTAAGTCTTGCTGAGTACAATTGAGTACTCAAGGTTTTATTTCCCCCTGTTGCAGGTGACAGGTGAAGACTAGAGCTGACATTTGTGTGTGGATTCCTCCTGGTGGGCTCAGAGAGGATTTTCTTTACGCTGCGATTATAGTTTTTATTTATAACTCTCACCAAATATTTTATTAAATAAAAGTTTTATAATCTGTTGTCATAGTTTATTTATCAATGCTTCATCATGCCATGAATAGCTATTTATTTCCGCTGTAATTCTGATCACATGTTTATATTCCGTTGTTTAATTAAATTGTTCATAACTCTAATAATATGATTACATTCCGCTGTTATAACAATAAATATTATACTCTAATGTTGTATTAAAAGTGATGTAAGAAATGGTTAAGAATGATGTAAGCTTTATTCTCTCATTTATTATCCTGATGGAAAAATGTGGATTTTCGGGGTTTTCCTTGGGGTGTGCCCGATAGAACTGTGTAATTTAGTGTTATTCCTTAAGTACTTAGTGTCTAATGGAAGACGAGAACTATTAGGAGGCATTAGATTAGACGAGTTATGTCCCAACAGGGGTTGAGCATTTTGAGCGGGTATCCAGACACGCGTGGTGCGCTAGACGTCCGGACGCTAGATTAGGCGAAGATTTAAAGTCTAAGTTAAAATCATGAGTGCAACTACACCGTTACATCACTCCTACTCGTTGAGATTCCGTGATGCTACAATCAAAATCAAGTCGTAAGTTTTAACGGTAGTTCAGTACCAACCTGAACCAGTCAGCATGAGGCTAGACTCGCGCGATGCTGGCCCGGCCAGCCTTCCCGTCAGCCTCTGCCAGCCGCCGTAGCACAACATCGTCACCAGCGCCGGCGACTGCCTGGCGCCGCTGCACTACGTCGATGGTGACTACATGGTCGCGTGGTATTTTTTAGTGTGGCTTGCTTAGGGCTTAGGGGTCTTGTCATGAATTCAATGAAGCCCGCCATGACTCACGAGTTCGGTGCTTCACCAATCAGCAAAGGAGATACGACGTGTATAAGTGTAACGCGAAACGCAAAATCATCGCCATGACGGCGTCAATGCCCAGTTCGATTCAAACCAAACACTTTTGCCACACATGGAATAAACTTAGCAAAGTTTACACGCTGGTCTACACATCTGGATCTCACAACACATCACACATTACTATTGTCAGGTATCAACAGCACGGAAATGCTGAGTCGCAGCTGATAAACACACATCAAGGCTCGAGCTCAAGATACTAAGAAGGCTGATATGCCAACACCAACTAAGACACCACCCTAGGCTCATTAAATCCTACTGGCCTATCTATAATCTATCACGCCGAAGCGCATCATAGCTCACATTATCATTCACATGAAACGAACATACACCAACCTTGATTGGGATGGGCAATGCAACGCTGCAGCCGCACATGCAGAGTATGGCATTGTATCAAGTCCAAATGAACGCAGGTATTGCCCATCAAATAATTCATTGGTCGATTCGCACACCAAGAATGCACTGTGCGAGATGAGTCAGATACGGCTCCGCATGTGAACTGTTACTCAATGTAGGAGCAAGACTCTGGAGCTCTGAATTGAACGCTGCTTCAAATTTCCTGCAGCAAAGACCAATGTGATGATGTTATATGATACTGGGCTGGAATTTTAATCTCGTCGCTTCAAGGATAGATAGAGATGCTGGATACATACAGGATCGACTCTGACATGACAACATTCTCTGATGCTAGTTTCAGCTGCTGGTCTCTGTCCTGTGATTTATTTATCCTTGATCTTGACTTCACAGACTTTGATGTGTTCTCGGAGTTAGTGACATCGATGGATGGCATCAAGAGCTGGATGGAAGTAGCATACTGAAGGCATAAACCTTTCAGCTTCTCAACTTTCTGTGCATCCAAATAAATACAAGAATAAGACTTGATTCTTTCAAAAATCTTGAATGATACTTCCTCCATTCCAAATTTTAAGTCGTTTTGACTTTTCTGGGTTCATACCTTTTGCTATGCACCTAGATATAGTATACTATGTCTAGATACATAGTAAAAACTTTGAGATCCAAAAGCCAAAATGACATACAATTTGAAAGTGGGAGTACTAAGTAAATCTATCAACCAAAAGTTATTGTTTTATCTTCTTTTTTTAAGTTTTAAGAAAAAAGGTAAAAGGACACACCACAAGGAGTTCAGGCGACAACAGCAAGCATTCTTTTAGACACTTCTGGAGGAAGAAATCATGGATCTGGATAACCTGCAAGCAGTATTAACATCAAAGGTAATGCATTCCGGACGGTTAGCATTGCAGATTAATTTTAATTGCAAAAATATCCCCCTAAAATATCAAATTGTAAAAAAAGTGCAAAACCTCATCTATGCTCCTTGCTGTTTGAAGGCGGTCATGCATCAAATGCCAATTTGGTTCAAGAACCTGGGGACCAAATGAATAATTTAGAACTTGCCCAACATGTATGGTTTACCTCAAACGTTAGATAATGCATGGTGTCATCTGTGGTTTAGCATGACCAAAAGAATAGTTTAGCATGCTGATATGTATGGTTTACCTCAAATGTTAGATAATGCAAAAGGCTATTTACAAACTTGAGCATGCTACGACAAAGAATTGATGACCGTAAAATTGGTGTCCCTAGAATCTTGACAGACCGGAATACCTGTCCAAGAGTTAATATCCAGTCAAAGTTGGCATACGCAAAAATGTTAAACTGATTTTGCAGGACAAAAAGGGTTCATTCATACTTGTTGTATTTGCCATGCTGCACACAGCTGGCGACTAACATGCTTGCAGTGGAACAATAGGCGAAAGATCAATTGGTATTTTGTCAAAGCCTTCCTTGAAATTACAAGAGATAACGGCCACTGGACCTGCAGGGTACAACAAGTATATAATTTCATTATCACAAGACAAACATGAGGAAAGTTTTAAACAAACTATTAAAATAGAAAACCTTATTGCTAAGGCAGAATGTTTCCAAACCCGTGATGCTTAATTGCATTGACTGATCAACATCGGCTGCAGCAAGCTTATCTGCAGGGTAAGCACAATCCAAGTCTTTCAGAGTGGCCAGTTTCTTAAGGAGGGAACTTCTTTCCTGTTGAACACAGATGTAAACAAAGATGATAATATAAAACATCATATAGTATGACCAGATCCAGATAATATTTACCACGCAGCAGATTAATTCCTCATGGCTTGGATCTGAAGCAGCTGCAGTACTCCGCAAAGCAATGTCAAGCAGAGACTGCCGTGTAAAATGAACAAATAAAGCTTTAGCAAAACAAAAGGAGAACCAGCTTTTTCATAATCAGAGTTGACAAAAAATCTGCTTTTGTCATGGCACAAACACACAGAAAACACATAGTACAAGACAAACCTGAAGTTTTTCAGCAGATATTTCTTCTGGTTTCTTTGTAAGCTCCTCTCGAGCAATATCCATAAAATGAACCAAAAAGTCACCCTGTAAACTAGATAAAACAGATAAGATAAGTAGCTCAAGAAAAATCAATATGGATGATCAAAATCAAATCAGGAAACATGGCATTCATTATCAAGGACATTGTAAACAGCTAAGATACTCATAATTTCATACTCTCTCCATCCAAAATGGAAGGTGTTCTGGTTTTGTCCTAAGTCAAACTTCAAGTTTGACCAAGTTTATACAAAAACATAGCAACATAAACAACATTAGATTAGTTTCATTAAATCCACCACTGAATATCTCTATAGTATATTTGTTTAGTGTTGAAAATAATTTTCTATAAATTTGGTCAAACTTGAAGACTTTTGACTTAGGACAATAAACCTAAAAAGACTTTACACTTTGGAACATAGGACGTAACAGAACATAGAGATTATTTTCTGAATTTTAAACTGTCTCTACATGTTATGCTAAAGCATGACACTCAAGTACACATAAGAAGTAATAACAGAAAATATAAAGAGTAAATATTCTCCATATTTTCAGCATACTTGGTCAAGGAGTAGATAGCGCTTCAGGGATCGCAGTTTCCCGATGAGATCATACTGCACAATTAATTTGATAAATTAGCTACCTAGCTTATAAACGAACAAAATGTAACCCTAACTATAAAACAGTGATTACCTTATCTTTCATCAGAGTCAACAATTCACCACTTGCAAAATCATATGCAGATTTTATACATTCAAGATATTGGTGGTTTGAGCCAAAGCTCATAAGCTTAGAATTGTCTGACAAGGAAACCTAAATAAAATATCCAAAGTAATTGTGTGATTTTAAGTAATCGAGGCATACTACTAACATGGCATTTAAATATTTAATGATTTTGATTCCAGAAAAAAAAATGAATCATGTATACCTGAACATTGTGCCCACATTCTCTCATAACATTAAGATACTTTCCTGTTGTAAGAATCATTGCGGCAACATTCGTAAGGAAACTAGGAATTCCTTCTTTTAGGCTGTATCGTTGCTGCCAATATTTGGCATCATAATCTTGAGTGAGGCTCTCCTAGCGAAACCAAAAAGAAAGGAAATAAACCAAGCACTTGGTTAAAATAAGATAAAACTAGACTCAACATGTTAGGCTTAATATGATGCAAACAACAGTAAGAACGAAGGTCCAAAGATTTAGAAGACAAAAGGTACCTTCTGCAGAGATTTGTTTTCAGCAATGAAGAATTCACCATAAGGATCGTCTATAACTCCCTCATACACCCACCTAATATGGACAAAAACAAGTTCACATAATAGCAAGTTACTTGAACCTTTATTTTTTCCCTCTAAACACTAGGACTCTAAACAAGACAAGACGATAATTAGAAGATGTGTGTTGACTTCAGCTAAAACGTGAAAGCTAGCAAACGGTTGAAAAGGTGCATCACTCATAAGACAAACAAGGAAAGAAGCAATGCACAATCATGAACCTTTCTAGCATCCTGAGGTATGCTCCGCTTGCATATTCTGTCATCTTCTCCAGTAAAGACCGAACAGCACTATCACCACCCATCGCCTTTGCCTGAGTTGAAGGATATGATAGATGCATTACATGTTTAAATAAGTAATAATGTGAATTCGGGAGAACTAAGCTCTGAGAAAAATGTGAAGTAAGAAACCAGTCCTATTGAAGAAAATTGCTTTATCTATAAGAAAATTAAAAACTAGACAGCTCCATTTAGCTTAGATTTACAGTAGGCATACGGGAGAAGGGAGGAGGCATAGAAGGAACAGTGTGTATTCTCAGAGGAATAAACTCACTGTGAAAGAGTACCTGGCTTTGAAGTAGATTAAGTGTCGCAGAACCATTAGTATTGTTGGAGGTAGCCTTCTCCACTAGAACTGCCAATGCATTCAGTGAACTCATCATCCTCTGCCAAAGACAAAACATAACTTTTAATGCTAAAACCAATAATCAAAGAAAGGCAAACATAATAAAAGAAAACTCACCTGACAAAAGAACCATAATCCCTGAACAGAAAGCCTTCCAAGACGGAACTGGTGCTCCAGTTGAGCAACCATTGCCTGATAGTCCTGATCATATATTTTATAAAAGAAACTTGGTGACTATGTGCAAAGTGCAAAATTTTCAGATAAGCACCATACAGAAGTACCAACATAGACCTTCCCTGGAAGTTAATATATAGTGATTTTAGAAAGTCAATGTATTATCAATGGGATAATCTCAGCAACGATACAATTCGTTAAAAAAAAAACATGACAGGATAGAACAACTGAACTCTAGCACATGATACAGCTTTTTTCATATTCTTTCTGGTTTTGTTGCCTTTTTCAAACAGAAGAGCTTGCAATCACATATCGAAACTGCAGTTCTACAGGGCTGTGGTTTTGGTTGTGATGGCAGAAAGAACTGGGCAACTGGCTAGTCGCCCACTCTCTGGAGGCTTTGACTGCTTTTAGGGTTCTTCTTGCTTGCCAATTTACATCTGCCGATGCCTATTACATAGAGCTGGCTTCAATCAAACAAATTAGCAAATTGAGATAACAAACCAACAGAATTATGTCTATGCTAACAAACCAAGAATTATCTGTAGGCTAACAAAACAAATAGCTTATCTCCTAAGCAACACGCCGCTGCACTGTTGCCACATGGCAGATAAGCTGCCTCTAGTCCTCGGCCCATAGCCCATAACTCAATGCTCTCCTCGAAAAGTGAAAATCACAAATGTTAAAGTACTCTACATTCTCCTATCAAGAGTAGAAGAATACGTCTTCAACATCTGCACAATTTAGCTCTAACAAGAGCATAGACGCCACATTTTTTTCTTTGTACAGACAGTTGTTGTACCAGTAGGAATGCTCTTAGAGCTGCAGCCAGAGCATGGTTGACCAAACCATTCTTGAAATGTGACCTGGACTCCACAAACTGGCTGACCAACACATAATCCTCACACAAAGGGAAAATCCGGCGAGTCAATTCCTGCAAGAGAAAGATCAGTAAAGTGACAACCATATCATTTATTGTATGTGTGATCTAATGGACACCACACTTAGGTCTACCTGGAGGGCGAGGTCCATCGAAGAATCAATCTGAAAGACAACATAGCCCTCCTTTCCACGAACTCTCTTAATGGAAATATATCGTCCCTCAATACCCACCAGAGCTGATAGCAAATCATCGATAACCAAAAGCTCCTGCATTACAATTATATCAGCAACCCTGCACAAACTTACATTTTGCAGTTGTTCTGTGAAAGCTACATAGTTCATATATTTCTAACAACAGTAAAAAATTAGGCCAATAGTAAGACCCACGGAAGAGCAGAACCTATATAGTGATGATGTTTCACAATGTCATATTTAGACCAACATTTTGTAAACCTGAAGCAACTGACCAACCATTGGGCTCCACCTCCAAATGCAATTCAAACTAAAAGAATTGACACTCAACCAAAATTCGCATACTTGTAACATTTCTCAAACTATTTGCAGAGCCACACAATGAGTACTTGAACCAGAAAAATGAAGCGAAGTCTAACTCAGCATTATTACACTACTAAAAATGAAGCGAAGTCTAACTCAGCATTATTACACTACTAAAAAGGAGACATGAAACATGATTTACTAAGCTCCAGGAGGCAGGCAATGTCAAAACTAATACTCAGGAATCCCCAGCACAGCAGCAGCAGATTCAAATCCTCCCTACCTGAGATCCAGCAATTTAAATTCACAGGTCGATAATAAATACAGACACGTCAAATCCTATACCTAGCTAATTCCTCAAATTCAAACCCCATAACCAGAACCTAAACCCTAGCTCCAGTTGGACAGTTGGCTAAAAAAAATCCACTTGAAAGCTCAACTCCACTAGTTGACCTCCAGCCCGCTTACCTGCACCGATACTGCGAACGATCCGATGACACTTCCGGTGCCGGCGCCGGCGCCGCGGCTGCAGATTCAAACCAGTTCCAGGCATCAGAAACCACCGCGAACAGCAGAATCATCGGATTATTGCGCCTAAACCGCACGAATTCCACCGTAGTACCTACCTGAAGGAGTCGAGGGAGAACGACTTGGATCCGGGTCCCTGCGCCGCCGCAGCTGCCTTCGCCTCCTGCCAGAGCGTGCGAGGTTCTTGAGAGGGGTGTTGAGGTGGTAATGCTGGCAGTATGCGATAGGGGCATACCTGGTGGAAGCGTCCAGTGAGGTACGGTCGCTCCAGATTCCAGCGCGGGGTCGCCGGCGCGGGATCCATCTCAGGGCAGCGGGTGGAGCGTGTGAGCGTGGAAGAAGGAAGCAGCAGCTGTAGGGGAAGAGGTTACGGGGCGCATGGGGGAGGCGTTGCCGGGATTTTTAACTTTTTTCCATGTTTAGCACTCCCACTTTTACGCGCGTCCTGCCTAATTATCATAACAAAGAGCGAAATTCATACTTTTTTTTTTTCACTTTCGCTGACGGACACGCCAGGTGGGCATGGCGGTGTGACAGTACGCCTGGAAGCCCTCACCTAGCTTGAGAAATGACCTATTTACCCATGTTGTTGCTCTCTCTCTACTCTCTAACGTGTGGGCCCCACATGGCAGCTTCACCCTCAACCTTCGGTCAACACCACACAGCGAGGGGAGGGGAGGAGCTCATGAAAACTGCATGTCGCCGATCGGACAGCTTGAGGTGCTTTGATTCGATCCATGTTAATCCCGGCCGCCCATCTTATCTTGAGACAACGGCAACCAATAACTTGCGGGGTTCAAGTGAATTTCGCGTGAAAGCGGCAGCCGGGCATGCATGAGCGATTTGACTACTGTCCTCGACGACGTGCCAAGCTGGCCCGGAGTGAGTTGGCCGTGTCGGTCCGACCCGGCGGCGACACACCGAATCGACCAAGCGCTATTTAACCCAACCACCGGTCGTTAGATCGGCTACCCAAACGACGCCTTAATGCAAACAAGCGGCCTAGACAATACTAGCTCGTCCGATTCTCGGCTTGCCACAACACCTTTTTGCATCTTCTTGAGGTTCGACTACATGGCGGTGCACCGGGGTGGTGGTGGCCGTCTATAAAAGGAGGCACCGCAGCACCGTCCGGCCCATATCTATCACTTCGATCCATCGCTTCTTCCACAACACGAACATGTACGTACATAGCTAGCTAGCTCGCAGAGCATCTATCGCCAAATAAACCAGAGAGTGGTAGTGCTAGCAGGCCAATCGCTAGCTCCACCGAGACGACCATGATGAAGCAGCAGATCGCCAAGCTAGCAGGTGTGGTGGCATTGCTGGCACTGATGGCTCTACTGGAGCCGGCCGCCGCCACCGGCGTCAAGTTCACCACCGACGACCTCAACTCCGAGGCATCGCTGTGGGGGCTTTACCAGCGGTGGGGTGCGCGCTACAATGTAGGACGTGACCCCGTGGAGAAGCTCCGCCAATTCGACATGTTCAAGGAGATGGCGCACCACGTCGCCTCTCATGCTGGAGTCGCAGGCCACGCTCCAGGTCTGAACGCCTTCACCGACTTGAGCTCGCTTGAGTCGTAGGCTCAGGCGCACTCTAGGGCAGGCTGCAGAGGCATAGGAGGCTAGGCTGAGGGCTCATCCCCTCCCCTCGATGCGTGGGACTCCGCACGAGCTCCTCCCCTTCCCTCGTTGCGTGGGACTCCGCACGAGCTCCTCCCCTCCCTTCGCTGCGTGGTGATAGCTGGAGGTTGAAGATGAAGCTGACATATGGGACCCACACGTCACAAAGTAGAGGGAGAGAAGCACCATGGATAAATAGGTTATATCTCATACCAAAGTTAGCACTCCCAGCCTCGCTGTCACGCTAGCATGTCCACCTGGCGTGCACATCAGTGAAAGTGGCAAAAGCGTAGGAGGTTCACTGTTTATGATGGCAATTGTGTAGGAGCACGCACAAAACTGGGAAACGAAGGAGTGCCATTGGTAAAGATGACAAAATGTTAAAAATCCCGACGTTGCCGCCTGCAGGGAGCGGCCGCAGCAGTTGTTGGGCCGCGCTTGCGCCAGCCTGAAATTCAACTTTTCAGACCCTTTGGAATGCATGATTTTTTTTCTTTTTTCTGTCTTTTCTTATGAAAAAAATGAACAGATTCCTCTAAATTCTTATACATGTAAAAGTCCTACATTCAAAAAGGATGCATTAATTCAATAAAAACACATTTTTTTGCAATAAAACAATCGTTTAAATTAAAAATATGTAGAACTTTACCTAGTTGCCATCAAAATTGGCAGAATTTATATTTTTGCGCCACGTACCAAAGAAATATAAATTTTAAATACAAGCTTCGATGGATACAAATTTTATTTGAGACTTGTAGAGATCGATCACAAAGTTATTCTTGTTTTTCATTAGAAGAGATCCACTCAACCGCCACTCCTATGGTTACAAGCCGCGGCCGACAAGCATCTCATCGCTGCTACCCCCTCCTTCCTCTTTGGCTTAGTGAAACCCCAAATTTAGTTTCCGTAATTAACTGACAACTAGTGGACTAATGCTTTCAATGAGTTATGAATGAGCTAGTTTCCACATGATGATGGGCAAGGCTAGGAGATGGTGGAGGTGATCTCATATGAAAGAAGGCTCACACTTGGAGAGAAGAAGGAAATGAAAACAAGCCCGAAGGCAAAGGTATATATTAGGGGTTTTCATTTCATTGACCGAGATGCAATACAGTGCATGATCGGTTTAGAATAGATAGACATACTTGTAACACCCTAGGCCCGACACACAGCACAGACCCACTCTACCAAGGGGTGGGCCCCACCTACGTAGCAACCCGCTTGCGCTTTTATTCTTGCTTCGCGCAAAACGGTTAACCGAAGGTTACTACGCGTCCTTGGTCTGGCTATTTAAGCTGGTCTGGCCGTCCCTCAATCCTAGTATGGTACTAAACCTCGGGTGAGAGGTGCTCCTCGATGCTACAGTAGCCACATGTACAGCATCCGAGCTACAGTGCCCCGATCGTGGCCCAGCCTAGCTCGTGACTACAGTGCTCGTGACTACAGTACCCCCTCAACAGTGCCCATGGCCAGCGCTATTCAGTTTGGCCCGTTTAGGCGGGGATGTTACAGTACTATTAAGAGGTAAACTCCTAAACAAAGATGATTATCTAGTGCCACTAGGCTTGAACTAACTTTGCATCTGTATTGGAGCTAGTGACCTAGAAAGGAAGGAAGTTAAAATACTTTTGAAAATGTTTTTTAAAGGCTAACGAGATGCTTAAGTGGTGGTGTTCAAGTTTGGAACATATTTGGATTTAGTGCATCTGAAAATCATTTGAGAGATGTACTTAGGGCAAATTTTCTGCCCTCGACAACGGATTAGTCTGGTGTCCCCTGAGGGGAAGCACCAAAGAAAAGGTGTGTATATTGACTATTGAAAGTGCATTTGCCCTCTATGTGGGTTTTGGTGTATTGATGACATCCAAATTATGGACTAATGTGATCTTAATGAGATATGTTGCAGCTATTAGTCCCATGAAAGATTCAAAGAGTTGATAAAGATGAAATGGTATCCTTCAATTCTTGAAGTTGTAAAGATGGACGAACTCAAAACTATCTCCAAAGGGTTTAATTTTGTTTTTGAGTTTAGGATCCACCGCACTATAAAGAGGGATGCAAGTTTAGTTGGTCTGAGGAAGATAGAGTGCTCAAGCATTTAAATAAAATCAAAAGACAGTCACTCCAGCACTTCACGCGCATTTAGAATAATTTTCTGTGACTTTCAGTGTCGGAAGTTCCGACGTAAGTCGGAACTCCCGACAGTCGGAAGTCCCGACCTAAGCCAGGAGTCCCGGCACCTATGCTTCTGACTGCTCGCTGTCTATGCTCGTCGGAAGTCCCGACGTTCATCGGGAGTTCCGACAGTCGAAAGTCCCGACGTTCGCCGGGAGTTCCGATACTGACCTAACCCAAGCCGGGAGTCCCGGCATCAGCGGTGCTGGCTGTTTGTTTAACTCGGCACGTCGAAAGTCCTGACGACCGTCGGGAGTTCCGACCGTTGGAAGTCTCAATGTTTGCCGGGAGTTCCGACACTGACTTGCACGCGCTGACTTCCGACTCCTTGTGTACAGTGTTTTCTGTTATAGTCGGAAGTCCCGAGATCTGTGTCGGAACTTCCGACGTAGATCTGATCGGTTGGATTTTCACTTGGAGTATAAATACTCCTCTCTTCACTTCTAACCGACGTGACTCATTTCACAATGGACTAGCCCGAACTCAACAGCTCCCAAGCAACCAAAGCACCCTCTCCTTCCCCTTTGCTCGAATCTTGATTCCCTTAGGGTTTGAGTGAAAGGAGAGTGGATTTAGTAAGAGCATCACGTTGGAAAGCTTGAGCACTTGATTTCTTCGTCAAGCCGGGTGATTTTCGTCTATTACTCTTGGGGCTTTGCCCTAGCAAGCTAAGCGTTGCCCTAGAGCTTCCATCTTGTGGAAGATCCTTGGGAAGTTTGTATCACCCTTTGATTTTTTAGTGGAAAGCTCAAGTGACCTTTGTGGTCGCTTTGAGAGAGGCAAGGAGGTGGAAAAGACTCCGACCTTGGTGGTCACCTCAACAACGAGGACGTAGGGAGCTCCTTAGTGGGGGTCTTAGAACCTCGAGATAAATCCTTGTGTCCCGTGTGCTTGTTGTTGTGATTGCTAGAGATTATTTGTATATGTTTGTCTCTTTCCTCCTAAACTTGCATTTTAGGGTTTGGACTCGATCTACGGTTTGGAGGCATTACGGCGTCAAGGAGTGACCTAACATCTTCACCAAACCACTAGGAAGTGAGGTTGTAAGTTTATTTATCCTCAAAGTTAAATTTGGCACTTTGCTTTTGTAGTTCACGAGGCGTCGGAACTCTTGCGGCGACGCTTATACTGGAACTTGACAACGACAACGGAAGTTCCGACCCAAACGTCGGGACTTCCAATCGTGGTGATAGAATTGAACTTAGCATTTGTAGTAAATTTTTAGATACACCTATTCACCCCACCTCTAGGCATTGTTAGATCCTTTCAATTGGTATCAGAGCAAGGTCTTCTCTTTGCGTTTCACCACGTGAGAAGAAACAATGTTGGAGTCCGAAAAGATGCAAGCCGTTGCCGCCGAGATGGCCAAGAAAATAGCTGAAGAGATGATGAGTGCTCAAGCCAAGCTCTTTCAAGATGAAATGAAAAAGATGCAAGACGAGATGAGCAAGTTGAAGGAAGAATTGAGCAAGAAGGTTGATGATGCAATAAGTGGCAAGAATGA